GAAAAAAAAAAAAAAAAAAAAAAAAAAGATGTGGCTGTGCCCATTACCCTTATGAGGAAGATGCACAAGAGAGGCAGTGACATTTGGCACAGGTTGGACAGTCTGAGTGAGAACTCATCCCCTCAAACTCTGGGATTGAATCCAGGAGGAGAAAGAGGAAGAGAAGGAGAGAAACAGGAAGAAAAGGAAGGAGGAGAAGGAGGAAGAGAGGCAAAGAGAAGAGAAGAAGGCAGAAAAGAAGTCTATTTTCTGACCATTTGCACAAATCTTGGCCTCGTGATTTGCTTTGACCAGTAGAATACAGTAGCAATGAGAGTGGCCAGTTCTAAGTCTGTACACTTCCTCTCCTCTCCCCCTCCTCTCCTTGGGCACCACCTGTGCTCAATCTCGGGCTAGAACAATAGAAAATTAGACTGTGAGGTGAAGAGTCAATGGGCTGTAGAAAAGGGCTCCCTGTTGGCTTTCAGCTAACCTCAGACACATTCGTAAACCCAGCTGTGAGCAGAAGAACCAGCCGCTGAGCCCAGCCTACACCTCCAAACTGCAGCAGGGGAGCTGAACTGAGGACCTGGCCTGCTGCAGAGCTGCATGTGTGCCTGGTTAAAACAGCCTCATGCAGGGGCCTTCGAGAACCTGGCCTTGGCTCAGACCCTGACCTTGGGTCACAGTACCAACCCAGGCCCTCCTGGATCTTGGTGCCCTTCCCTCAACCCCATTCTTACTGGTGAGAATGACGATGCCTGTGATGAACAGCACAGCCGCCACCAGCAGCCCCCGTTTCCGGAGAGTGGGCTCATCTGCAGAGAGAGACGTGGGTGGAGGGTGAGAGGGGGCTTGCCCTTTCCTCCCTTCCTCCTCCCACGGGTAACTCACCATAGTAGAAGGGGCTGTCCTCATCTGGACCTGGAAAGAAAGACAAGCCACAAGTCAGAGCCAGCAGAGGTCTGCAGGGCACATGCCAGGCACCTTCTAACCTCAGGGTCTTTGCACTGTCTTCTCCCTCTACCCAGAATGGTCTTTCCCTAGACATCCACACGGCTTCTTCCTTCACCTCTTCACTCTTCCCCTGCTCCTATACATGCAGTACTCCCTGTCACCCTCTAACCCTAAATCTGCTTCATTTTTCTCCATGGCAAGTTAAAACCACCTACTATATAATTATTATTTGTTGTTTGTCCACCCACTAAAATATCAGTTTCTTAGGCACAGAGATATTGTCTCTCTTAGTCATGGCTCTACCTCTCGCACCTAAACAAGTGCCTGGAACACACAACCCAGTGTCTTTTGTTTGTCTTGTTTTGTTTTGTTTTTTGCAATACTAGGGATCGAACACAGGACCTTCCTGTTGGGGACTAGGCTACGTAATTCAGATCTCAATCTCAAGGTCAATGTTATCTTGCCTCAGAAACAGGGATGTATGCAGAAGGCCACCCCCTGCCTATGGGCAGAATGCCAAAGACTGGGCACTCCTGAGGCAAGACAAGATCTGCTGAGGACAGTTGTCAATATACAGACATTTGGGCACAGAGAAAATCTGGTTCCTCATTAACTTAATCCTTATCTACCCATTCCCTATAGTTACTGTCCCATAAAATGTGTTTCCTCCTCCCACTGAGAGTCTCGCTGCCTAATAAAAGTGGACCAATCACGGAGTTTTATTCGAGTCTGTCCACTAGAGGCAAGTCTTGTTCTGGTCACCACTTTATGTCTTGAAAATTGATTCTGTCTCTTCTCAATTCCTTGTCGTTTCCCCCCAAAGGTAGCAAAGGGTCTGATCAGCCCCCAGTAACGTATTATTGAGGTACATTTTTATTCTTTTATTTTGAGACAGGGGCTCACTAAGTCTCTAAATTTGCTAGGCTGGGCTTGAATTGTGATCCTCCTGCCTCAGCCTCTAAGAGTACTGGGATCACGGGTGTGTGCCACCATACCTGGCTGCTTAAAGAGTTGCATGAACAGGTGAATGGACTCCCTCTGTTACCTGTAAGCATAGCGTTCCCTCCATGCATTGGGGTTGGGTAGGCAGGAAATGGGGAACTAGGTCTTGATGGAAAGAACCAGGTGCCCTGAAACAGAGCCTCACTGCCCACAGCTGACCTCACCCAGCTGCACCCAGAAGAACCACCCAGCTGAGCACAACCTACATTTTACATGGTGGAATTGAAAGCTAAATAAACAATGACCCTTTTAAGTCTCCGAGTTCTGTTATGGCTTGTATGTAGCATTTACATCTACTCAGATATTATCGTGTACCCTCCTTCTCCCAAACAGGGTGTTATTTATTCTCTCAACATATGTGTCCTTCAAATGGCTGTGGGCTGGGCACATTACAGGGGCTGGAAATGCACAGAACCTGGGAAACCGCTTTTCAAGTCTGGGAAGATAGTTACTGACCAGGTGGCTCGGGGTTGTGGTTGTCACCCGTCTGGGGGTGTCTGTCTGGCTTCGATCTGTGGTAGAGGGTGGTGGTAGCTTCATTGGGATGGGCAGAGTGAGTGGCTACAAGTTGGGAAAGAGAAGGTGGAAGTCATCGAGGCAGAAACAAGGACATCACTGCAAGTCAGGAACAGAGAGAGCCTCCCACAATTTACACAGATGGCCTGCAGGGGACAGGCACTCTGCCCCCGCCATCCAGGAAGGCAGCAAGCAGTGGTCAGCCCCTCCTCAATCCAGTCAATATTGGCTGCTCCAGCTCCCAGCTGGCCCCTCTCCTTAAAGGTAACACCTGGCTAGGACAGACAGGGGTACTTACAGGTCTCTGACCCAGCCACCCTGCTGGAGATGCTTGCTACAAAAAGTTCTGAGTATCCCTCTCCTCCAAAACGCCTCTCTCTCTCTCTCTCTCTCTCTCTCTCTCTCTCTCTCTCTCTCTCTCTCTCTCCTCTTCTTCTCTTTCTCTCCCCCGCCCCCAGATTGAATTCAGGAGCTCTGTACTACCCTCAGCTCTTTCTGTTTTGTTTTTTTTGTTTTTGTTTTTGTTTTCAATTTGAGACTGAAGACTACAGCCAAGAGAGGGAGCAGTGCAGTCCTAATGATGATGCTTAAGCTCCTTGATTCACCTCTGCCTGAAATGGCTTTCCCTAGAGTCTACAGCACTTCTACAGTCCATAAATCCAAGTTGGGTTTTTTTTCAAGTTGGGTGCTTTGTATCTCACAACTGAAAACCTCCTGCCCTAACATGAAGCAGACAGACACCAAGGAACCATCCACAGCCCCATTTCCTGGCACCAGTCCTGAGAACAGAACTGAGCGGAAGAGAGTCCCTAAGTCTGTAGTGTTTGGGAAATGCTACATTCTGGATGCTCCCTCTTGGGGATGCTTGGTGAAAATTAGCTTTATCACGGCTCTGCGGTCATGCCATAAACAAGTATGTTTAAGCCAGAGTTCCCCAGATACCTTTGACCACAAATCAAAACAATTTTAAAAATTCTACTTGCAGTTGCCCTAAACAGGTGCTTCGAGCACTGGACACGAGAAATGCTGATTTAGATAGGGAATCAAATAATATAAAAACCAGAGGCTGCTCTGCTCAGCCCCATGCTCTGACTTCCTTGCTGCTGGCCTGTGGCCCTGGATCCATCACCAGAAAGAAAGTACCTGTTCCTGTCAGTTGCTGGGTCTCCGTCTCCAACTCAGCTGTGTGCCCAGCTTGCTGTGGGGTCTCAGGGAAGTTTCTCTGAGTCTCTGTTTCCTTGGCTGTAAAATGGGGATAAATGGTCACTCTGATCTAGTAGTGTTTGGGTGAGGATCGAAGGAGGTGATGCAGGCACAGCACTTGGAACTGTGACCCTCATGTAGTAAGTGTTGTAGGTGTTTGTGCAAGGAGAAAGTTCATGGTTGTTCATGTGGCACTGTGTGCAACAGGAAAACCCGAAAGTCACCACAGTGCTCATCAGGAGGGAACGACTTTGCTCACTGTGCCCAGCCCCTGTGGGGGCCCCCTTTGAATTATATTCTAAAAGAGTTCGAATTATTTGAAATTTTTTTTTTAAAATGAAGAGACAGATGAATGGAAGGAAGAAATGGGAAGAGCACCAGAGTTTCTAGGGGAGTCTATCAAGTTCTGTTCTTTGACCTTCATCGCAGTGACGTTGGTGTTCGATTTGAGGTAAGTGGTTCAGTTGTAGACTTCCGGATTTTGTACTTTTCTATTTCTATGCTACAATTTATAATTTCAAAGCCTGCTTTGTTTTGTGTTTTAGAACCGAAAGCAGTTGACTGGCTGCTCCAACACAAAGTAAACTGGGGGACACAGAGTGGGGCGGGGGAGGGCAGAGGAGTCGGGACTGAGGTGACCAGCCAGAAATCCAGAGCAGCACGGGAAGCGGGGACTCTGCCCTGTCCCGGCCCACTCACCATCAGCAGGCTCGGTGGAGGTCGGAGGAGTGGACTGGACTTCTAGGCGGGCTGCATCTGGCATCCAGAAAAAGGTAGTCAGGGAGAGAAGTAGAGAAAGGCCACAGATAGAGATCGGAGCCTCCCACAGCGTCTCGGTTTTGATGTAATGACATAACTGAAGTGATCCAGACATTTATTTGCTTAGATCTCAGTCTTGATGCCTGGGCCTCCCCTACCTCAAGACCTGGAGTCTTACATCAGCCATGATACAGGCACCTTCTTGGGCATCTTGTTGCCAGTTAGTTTTACTAGGACTCAGAGAAGTCCTTCCTAGATTGACGTTCAGCTGTTTTCCAAATACCTTTAACCACAAACCAGCACCCATCTGCTCCACCCAATAAGAGCCCCGGAATCTCCTTGAGGAGCATCCTTCCTGATACAGTGGGGCCGGTACCCATCACAGGTCATCATGTCTCTTGCTTTTGGATACTCAGCAGCCCTCAAGGGCCATTTCGGCCCCATAAAAGAAGAAGCTGACTGAAAATAAAGCCAATATAGAGAAAACGGAACTAAGAGCTGGCACTTTTCCTGATAGCCCCTAGATTAAGCCATGCCTGAAGGCCTATCCTGGAACATTTTAGTTACACAAGTTCATAGATTCTCCAGTTTGGCCCAAGTTTGAGATTTATCTTGACAGATCTGTTTCTCTTTCCTCACCTGACACTTGTGTTAAAACGTGAGTGTTCACAGTAGTTGGATCCACCGCAGAAAGGGATGTGACATTCTCCAATCTGTGTCCTAGAAAATCAAAAGTGAGATCGGGAGGGAGACTCTGGTCCCTTTTTCTCACCTTTGCTCCCACTCTGACCAACTTTTGGAAACCCTGGGGGCCACTCCATGGGTCCTGTCCACTTGTGGAGCCACTTAACTTCAATTGTATCAACCTGCGATCCTGGAAGTGTTTTAACTTATACGAGTCTTAGCTACTTTCCTGTCCCTGGGACAAAGTACCCACACCTGCAACTTAAAAGAGGGGAGGTTTATTTTGACCACAGTTTTATCCATGGTTGCTTGGATCCAAGGCAGAAATGCCAGAGCAGAGGAAAAAGTGCTCAACTTGTGGCAGCCATGAAGCAGTGAGGGAAGGGAGGAGCTGGGGACCAGAGGACGCCCCTGCAGGCCACGCCTGTGACCCACCTCCAATCTGGCCCCACCTCCTCGATACAGTCAGCTGTGAACTCCCCAGGGGATGAACCCACTGATGAGTAGAGCATCCCAAGATCCAGTCACCTTCCAAACACACAGGGCTTTGGGGAACGTTTTAGATCTGCACCATCACACCCTGGGGACCTTCCTTCAGCCCCCTCTCTGCAGCCATCCTTGCGGGCTGGTCTAGGAAGCCCCTGGTGCTAGGGTTAGCCAGGACCCTGCTTTTAAATGCTGCTCCCGATGACTTCCTTCCTGTGTGACCCGGAGCAAGTCTCAGTCGCCTCGTCTGCAGAGTGGGGATTATAACCAGATCTGCGTCACAGGGCTGCAGAGAGACTGCAAAAGGAGACTGCGTAGAAGGAGTCTTCCCACCGCGTCACGCAGAGTCAGTGCTGAACACATCCCCTGCCCTGCTCCAGCCTCTGTCCCTCTCACCCAGAAGTCCCAGCGGCCTCCTCCCGGGTCTCCTGCTCTGGCCCTGCCTCCACGGTGTGCCTCTGCCTGCAGCCAGAGACAGCCTGTGCCCACCTGAGTCAGTGCAGGCCCTCCAGACTCTGCGCCCTGCCCGGGCTGAGGTGTCACCTGGCCCACTGCCTCGTCCCTCTAGCCCCCATCACCTCTCTGTGACCTCCTCTGTACTCCGTCCCTCGCTCACCCAACCCAGCCACGCAGGACAAAGCTCATCCCCCAGGTGCTGGCATGGCTCATCCCTCCGCCCCAGCTCACCCCTCCGAGCAATGTTCCTTGAGACTAGCCTGTTGAACAACCTTTGTTCCCCTCCTTCGTTTTCCCCAGAGCGCTATCACCTTCTAGGCCACTACACAATTGATTACTATCTTTGGCCTTATAATATCTACTGCTTCTTTCCCTCGGTGCTTAGATCTGGTGCGTAGCAGATGCTCAACAAATACCTTTCTTTTTTTAATTTTTGCCACAAGGTCAGTGAGTTCACACTGGGGGTGTGGCCTGGAAGGGCGGCTTCTTGTCCCTCAGCTCCTCCCTCTTTCACTGCTTCCTGGCTGCCATGGGTTGAGGCACCTTTTCCTCTGCTAGGCCCTTCAACCACGGCATTTCTGCCTCGGAGCCAACCAAGACAGCTAGCCTCGAACTTACTCTATGTAGCTCAGGCTGGACTCAAACTAGTGGCAATCTCCTGCCTCTGCCTCCTGCTGTGGTGACAGGAACACACCACCATGCTCAGAGGTGAAAAGCTGAAAGAATACAGGAAAACCAAAGAGAAATAGGGGCATATTTCAGTGGAGCAAGTGCTCTGGGTTATGGGAAAGGCAGGGCAATTGTAATTCTGATTCTGAACTTTAGTTTCCTTATCCATAAAATGGACGTGGCAGAATGCGAAAGAGGTAATGCCCACACAAGTCAAGGGACGTAGCACGTGCCTTGTGGAAAGCCCTGCAACTGCCAGTGAGGTGACCCCTTTGAGAAACACTTTGCCTGCAAGGTTGAGATGCTCCTACTCTCTGGACTATCAATCAGCCCACATTCACTTTACAGTATATCACTGGTGTTGAGAACCAGGTTTCCTGGCTGCCTAACAGAAAACTGATACTGACCTCCCCGCCAAATCAAACAGGCTGAGTTCCTCTTGGAGCTGAAAGGGAGGGTGCTCAGCAGGAAAGGCTCCAGCCAGACTCGCTAGAAGCAACCACCAAGGGCTGAGGTCTCCAGAGGGGGTGTAACCCCAAACCTGGCTAGGGATCCCCACTTCCTGGCGCGGGCTCACTAGGGGGATTCAGGATGAGAGAGAGCATCGAACTCGCCAGCCCCCGCGGCTCCAGGACAGGGTCTTACCTGTAGTGGGCACCATCAGGCCAAGGATGGTGAGGAGACACAGGCGACCGGAGGGCAACATCTGCGGGGTGAGCAAGAGCAGGAGTAGGTGCGGCTGGCCTGGGGTACCCCTGGAGGTGCCGCCGCTGGAACCCTCCTTCCCGAAGCTGACACCTCTGGCTCTAGGGCCCCCTCGCTTCCAGGGCTGACCAAAAGCAGCCTTTGGGGGCAGAGCGTGAGTCTCAGAGGTGGAGATCCCGAGCCTCCACCCCTTCCTCTTCCTGTAGATCTCTAAAAACAAGAGGCCACGGGCCCACCTGCGACCCATTGATGCCAAGGGCACAGACGCCCCGCCCCGCACTGCTCCTCCAGCCACGCACGACCCTCGCACGGGCTGGCAGGGAGGGAAGAGGGACTCTGGGCAGAGCAGAGGAGGGCTTCCCCCCACTGCCTGGGGGCACAGGGCCGGAGCTGCCAGGAGCAGCGAGAGGAAGGGTGAGTAATGCACGCCCGATCGCAGGGGAAAAAGTGAGCTGGTGTCCGGCGCCACTGCAGACAGCACGGAGCCGAGAGCTCCAGCTCAGAAAGGGGCTGCCTGCCAGGGATGGAGCAGAGCTGGGGAGACTGAGGCAGAGGGCGGGAACCGCGCGGCCCGGACTGCGGAGGGAAGTGGGCATGCGTGGGAGGCGGAGAGGCACCTCCGGGCGGGTCCCCTGCCCACCTGAGCCGGCGCTGGGCGGAAACGCTACAGGCGGCGGAGGAGCGAGGGGGGACTTACATCAGAGCCGGGGTCTCGA